TGCTCCATACAGGGAAAGAAGAAAATTTTTATTAAATCTCTTAAATTGAGTACAGTAGTGATACTCAATCCTTTTTAACAACATATTGACCTGTGAATATTTGACATATCTAGGTACTTTGGCTTCACACACTAACAACTTAATCATAACATCTGCTTGTGAATTATTTTGTTTGTTTTTTGGTTTTAGGGGTTTTTTTTGTACTATAGATTGATCTCAGGGGCCTTAACCATTGAGCCTTTTTTTATATTTTATTTAAAGAGAATCTTGCTAGATTCCTTAGGTCCTTCCTAACTTGCTGAGGTTGACTCTGAACTTTTGATCCTCCTGTCTCAGCCTCTGGAGCCCCTGGGATGCCTGTGAAGTTCTTTTGGTCCATGCTTATACGTGTGTTAAAAATAATGACCTTAAAATATTTATGTTACTGAGAAACAGCCAATTAATATTGCTTATTACTGATATCTAGAAGACCAGATATATATATATATATATATATATATATAAATAATATGCTAATATTTATATTATGTGTGTGTGGGTGTGTATGTATGTAATATATATATATAGGCAAGCACCACCATGCCTAGCCCAAATACCTATATTAAATGTGGAAGTTAATTCATATTTGCATCAAAACTAATATTTTGTCAATATTTACATAATTATCAATGAAATTTCAGTTCTTGGTATCTCTGCATGATTTCATTCTCCTGCACACCTCTTCTCCAAAGGAAAATAGTTTAAGAAATTTTGTAAGTGGATTTTCCTCACAATGTTTCCATGTCAATTAATTTATGTATCCATAAACAGTTTTTATAGAATCTTACCAACAAATATCTGTCTAGGTATTATACAACATATCTATTACCCCTAATATGTACTGGTTTACATCAACATGTGTATTTTTTTCAACATGTGTATTTAATTCTGTTTTTGAAGTACATACCTATACAATAAATGCTATAACTGAGCAAAGCATTTAATTTGAGGAAAGGATATCATTTAGTTTATCGGTTTATTTTTACAACAATCATTTAAAACTTCTTGTCCCTCTATTCATACCACACAAGGGAATTTCCATATAATATGTAGGAGGATATTTCTTTAACTTTTAACATTTTGTATATTCAATTTTACTATAAAACATTACATCTGTTGTCTAAACTTTTTACAAATCAGTCATTTTCCATCACATCCTCTTATTCTGATGACCTATTATGGCAGTATCACTGCAGTCTATTGATTAATAAAATTCCACCATAAATCACCAAGAATTTTCCTCTGGTGTTATGAACATGATTTCTATTGGCTTCAGTAGAAAAGAGAGCAACCAGGGATGAGAGGCAGAAAGTGAACATGTTAGCCCTGTATCACTAACCTGACATTATGTGCAGAATGTGTGCAAGTCTCTCCACCTCTCTGTGCCCATACTGCTTAATGGAAATTGGGAGAATAGCACCCATCTCCACAACACAGCACCACAGGTGGTGTGGAACTTTATGAATATTGGGTCATCATGGTATTATTCAAATAAAAAATCCCATCACTATGGAAAAGATGAGTTTATTGATGAATAAATTTTCCAAATGTCACTGCAGTCTGGAGTAATGTGATTTCTACAATGTGCCTCAGACCAAATCATAATTTTTGCCTACACCCTTCGGTGTGTGCTGTTTTCTTTTCTTTTTATATTCATGTTAATCACCTTTTATAAATTCAAAATCTGTCCAATATTAATTTACATTTTCTATTGTGCTGAAATATATTCAAATGTATAGTTTTAGTCATTATTAACTTTGTAGTTCAATATCATTAATAAAATTAAAGTTGTTAGGAAACTATCACCATCATAAAGGGCTAAAATTTTTCTCATTTCCTAACTGAACCTTTATACTCAACTCTAAACTCTCCATTAATTTCTTCTCCCAACCCTTATAACTACGATTCCACTGTGAAACTTAGGAAAGTAAAGTTATTAAATTACAAAATAATGTAACCAAAGAGGCAAGATTTACAGGTACCAGCGTTAAACTTCACTGGTTTTCCAAATTAAAAATGAAATATATGTCACTGATAATGAGATTAGACTATTCTACTAAGGAGCTTCTTTAGGGCACTTTTAATGTCCCTGTTTCTCAAGCTGTAGATGAAGGGGTTCAGCATAGGAGTGACAGCTGTGTACATCACTGAGGCCACCGCACCCTTTCTAGAAGAATGAGACAGAACTGAACCAAGGTACACTCCAATTGCCGTTCCATAAAACAAACAAACAACTGCCAGGTGAGACCCACAGGTGGAGAAGGCTTTGTACTTCCCACCTGAGGATGGGATCTTCAGAATGGAGGAAACAATTTTATAATATGAGAAAAGGATCCCTAAGAGGGGGAAAAAGCCATATATGGCTCCAACAAGATACATGACTAGGTTATTGGTGAAGGAGTCCCAACAGGAAAGACTGAGGACTTGAGAGGGATCACAGAAGAAATTAGAAATTTCGACATCTTTGAAGGTGGTAGACTGTAATGCAATCAAATTGTGCAGCTGTGATTCAAAAAGGCTAATAAAAAAAGACCCCAGAACTAAGAAGCCACAGAGTCGAGGGTTCATAATGATTGGATAATGCAGGGGGTGACAGATGGCCACAAACCGGTCATAGGCCATCACAGTCAGAAGCATGTCATCCATACATGCAAAAATGAGAAAAAAAGACATCTGTGTCAGGCAGCCCACATAGGAGATGGCTCTGCTGTGAGTTTGGATGTTCACAATCATTTTTGAGACTGTGGTGGAGGTTAAACCAATGTCAGCCCAGGACAGGTTGCAGAGGAAGAAGTACATGGGGGTGTGGAGGTGGGAGTCAGAGCTGACAGCCAGGATGATGAGCAGATTCCCAAGCACTGTGACCAGGTACATGGACAGGAACAGGCCAAAGAGTATGGGCTGCAGGTCCAGATCCTCTGAGAGGTTCACAAGTTGAAATTCAGAAACACGTGTAAGATTTTGTGGATCTATATTGATTGGACACCTTTTGAAAAAGAAAAGAGGATTAAAAAACAAATATATAAATGGGTACCAAGCACTCTGTATACATTTAAATTCAAGTCTTCACAAGAACAGTATTCATGCTTAATATATATTCACCTTCAACAATACTTCTCAGTAGCAAATAACCCATTCTTCCTGTACTCCTTGGTTATTGCTTTCTGCAATATCCATCGCTTCCTTCCACACCATCAGAAGTCCAGCAGCAGTGGAGGAAACAAGTAAAATGCAGTCTACTCTTTAAGGAAAAATGGGGGAAGGTAGTAAGCTTCCTTTTTATTAAAAAAAATTTTTTTTAATTAAAAAAACAATTTTAATAAAAAGAAATTAAGAGGCAGTTCAATATATCTTGTTTTGTTCTAAGACCTTGGGACTAATTTCTTTGATTTGCAATATTTAGATGTTGTGACTCCTCATGCCAAGCAAAGCATAGGCTCTGGATAATTCAAAATGAGAAAGGGAGATTTTTTTCTTCCCAAATACAGAGCATATACATCTGTAGGACTGAAAATAAAATATCCCATAAAGAAACAGGAAAACAGCAACATCAGGTGGCTGATGTTTTAGCTGAGTAGCATGAAGAATAAATTTATCATTAGTAATAACACATTTATTTTTCCCTAAATTTATATATGCATCACACATTTATCACCTACAGAGGCCCTATATCTATTTAATCCTTCCTCATTGGAGTTATCTCAACTAGAAATTAACTCAGATAACAATACTGAGTCTCAGATACCAACAACTTCCCATATAGCTCAGAAATGATAAGTACAGTAGAAAGATTAAAAAATAAATGCTTAGACTCTGAATTGAGTCCACTAAATGTTTCATTATTTCCCAGCTGACAGAAAGTCTTTAGCAGAGGTCTTAACCACAGGTACAATTCAAGTTATATTTTTAAAGTCTTCCCAGTTCTGTGAATAAGAATAAAATCAAGACCTGACATAAGGTGATCTTTTGAGATTGAGTGGGCTATTTACAAGCATGGACGACCATGTAGTCAGCTGTAAGGACGTTCCAGAGTGGGTACAAGACAGAGATCTGTGCTGAATGATCATGAGTATCCCCTACTGTGACCTGTGGCTGTTCTTCCATAGTGCATGCAGCAGGCACCCCCACTTCTGTGTTATCCTGTGATCCTCAGGAATCTCAAAAGAAATAACACAGTGGGAAAGGCTCTCTTTCTGCTGGTAAGAGAAATGGCTGATTGGCTTGTTGATGGGACAGCCTGCCAGGATTCTCCTGCATGATGCCCTGTGTCCATGGTCAGACAGCCCAATGTAAGCATGGCTTTATTTTCTACCTATAAATGAGTACAAGTTACTTAAATATAATGCAAATTTTCCATTTGCTCTTTAAAATATTTTTATTCATGCACTAGTTATACATAGTAGTAGGATTTACTTTGATAAACCTACATATGCATGAAATATAATTTGCTTCATTTTAGTCCCCATTACTTTCTCATTTCCTCCCCATCTCCCATTCCCCTTCCTCTACTCTATGGGTCTTCCTTCTATTTAGTTATTGTTTTTAACTGGTGATTTATAGATATACATTAAGATGAAATTCACTGTGGTGTACTCATATATGTGCACACCATCATTTGGTCAGTTTCATTCCATGGTTCTTCCTTTTCCCGTCCCTCCACCCTCTTCCTCTATCCTCTTCCTCTACTCCAGTGAACTCCCTTCTACTTTCACAGGATTTCCCCTTTTTTCCCTATTTTGCTCTAGCTTCTGTTTGTGAGAGAAAATGTACACTCATACATTGTTGTTGGACTGCAAATTCGTACAACTACCCAGGCAAGTAGTGTGGAGATTGGCCAAAATCTAAGAATGGAATCACCATATGACCCAGCTATCCTACTCCTTGGTATTTATCCTAAAGAACTAAAATCAGCATACCATAGTGATACAAGAACATCAATGTTTATAGCAGCTCAATTCACAATATCCAAATTATGGAACCAGATCAGGTGCCCATCAACAGATGAATGGATAAAGAAAATTTGGTATATATACACAATGGTGTTTTCCTTAGTCATAAAGAAAAATTAAATTATGGCATTTGCTGGTAAATGGATAGACCTGGAAAATATCATGTTAAGTGGAAATAAGCCAGACACTTTTCATTTTGTATAATAAAATGTAATACAGTAATAAAGTGGCCTACATAACTAAAGTGAGATGGTACACATGAAAAGAAACAAATGACAACACATTGTTCAGCACCT